CGCCTCAGTGCACCCCGGGGGGGGGGCAGCAGGGCAGGCCTGGGGATTGAACCCCTAGTCCCTGCGCCTGCTTGCAGATACTTTAATCCACTGAGCTATTTAACTGGCCCGGAATTTTTAGTGTGTAATTAAAGAAGCAGATCTGAAAGTCTCTAAGAAAAATAGACATACAAAATTATCCAGGGAAAAGCAATGTTGTTGGCAGAAGCAGCAGCAAGTTGTACCAGACAAGAAAATGCACCCTCAACTCCCAGGAAATAAAGCAGCGTGGGTCTGGAGGCGGAGCAGACAATCTCCACGGCCCACAGAGAAGCGGGTCTAGACAAAGGTGGAGAAGGCAGAGAGGGCAAGACGTACCCCGCAGTTTTGGAAACGCTCAAGACACAATTTTTTTTTATCCATACCAGAATATAAACCAGACATTTAATTTTAAAATGAAGCCTCATGAATTAAAGACTTGATCCCCAGCTGAGGGCACTGCTGAGAGGTGGTGGAACCTCAAGGGTGGAGGGAGCTGGTCCCTAGGGGCGTGGCCTTGAAGGAGCTCCTGAGACCCTGGTCCCTTCCTAGTGTCCCTTTGCATCTAGGCCACACTGAGGTGAACAGCTGCAGTCCACCACATGCTTCCCGCCATGATGTGCTGCTTTGCCACAGACCACAGAGATGGGGCCAAATACACTGCGACTTCTGAGGCCATACACCTGTTCCCCCTTAAGAGTTGATGTTCTCAAGCACTCTGTCACAATAACACAAAGCTAACTCTTGATTCCTATGGGCAGGGCTCAAGGAAAGAAACACAGAGAGTTCAGCAACATGAAATAGTGTTTGGCTTCACTTCTGATGAAAGATACCAGAAGCCCACAACATACCCCTTGTACCCATCAGCCTAGGGTAGGATCAGACAGCGGAAGAGCGCGGTGCTGGTGACCATGGGTCCTTGCTGTGTCAGCTACAGCTGGGAGCGAGTTCCCTGGCTCCTCCTGGAAAGGCACTCTGGCCAGGTCTATCAACGCTATCAGTTACTGCTCCCCAGCTCTGCTCTGGCAAGGAACTGGTTCCATAACGAACTCACAGTTGATCCCAAAGCCATACCTGCAAGGCTCCTCCTTGTTGTACCCACTGGCAACCACCTACCGGGGCTCATCAAACTGCCTGCTTACACAGTGTTTCACAGAGCTTGTGCTGCTACTTAAATAATCAGGCAGACCTATCCTGGGCTCCAAAATCCACCATGAAATGAAAGAGCAAAGTACTGACTCAGGTAGCCAGTACAATATCAGTTTTAAGACGGACGTCTTGTAGGCTGGTACACAGTCAGGAAATTTCAGCAAGGATTCGCAAGCAATTTAACAGTGGTATCCGCTGTAGCAGAGGAGTAGGGTCTGGAATGAGAACTGCCTTCATATGCTGGCCAAGAAGGGGTATGCCCACGAGGGTTTGCAGGGTACAAATCATTCTTACCTCTGTGCTCGTGGCCCAACTAAACACTATTTTTAGAAGTAATTTCAAACCTTTAGTAATGAATCAAAGTTTTATTTTAAGACATGTTTAATTCCTACCCATGAAGACTGAAAAGAATAACATAGAAAACCAGTTTTGTCTGTTAAAAAAAAAAAAGGAAAGAAAAGAAAGTCACTTTGCTTTTCATTGTCTCTCTCTGGAACTTCATGCCCCTTCTGTTCCTCCTGGCAACAGCATCTGAGACCCACGTCGGTGAAGAGGAGGAGGTGCGGATGCCTTTAGCTTAGCAGTCTTGTCTGAACACACCCGCCCCAGCTGCTTCTTTCAACGGCAAATTAGGTCTCATACCCTACGTATCCATTGTACGAGCTCAACAAGGTGGCTTCCTCCCTGTGAGGGCCCCGAGAGAGAAGGGGATGAGGAGCAACGTCAGCCCCAGGCCCAGAAGCCCAGGCCCTGGGGTCCCTATTCTTCCATGTGGCAGCAAACGGCATGGGAAGCTGGCACACTTAAGGACAAATGAAGCAAAGCGCTGACATCTGAGGACAAGTGCCCTGCTACCATGGGCCTGGAGGGCGAATGGGGTGGCTGTGAGATATGGCATATGTCCTAGTGAGCTTAGGATGTTAGACTGGGCAGAGCACAAGGTGGGGAAAACAATCTGAGCTATTGTTCTCTGCTATTTTGTACTAAAGCTGTCACTGTTAGGGTCCATTGGGAACACAGGTTGAACCTGCGCAACTTTTTGGTTTTCATAAGCAGGCGTCTAACTTTGGTTTTCATAAGCAGGTCAGAGGCTGTCCCTCACTAATCTCCAGGAAGCCTTCCCCCCAGGGTGACCGCTCAGGCACAGATGATGTAGAAAGCTACCCCTCTTCTCTAGTCACAGGTGCTTTTCTCAGTTCTTCAGAGGTCAGACACAGCCTAGCAGCTCCAGGAAGACAACACGCTCAGCAGCGAGAGGAGTGCTGCAGCGGCTCTGAGCACTCACTCAGTCCTCACGCTCGAAAGGCAAATACTTGGTTCTCTAGTCAACACTGCAATCCAGGGGCTGCCTTGTGATGCACCTTTAGCTTGTAAGAGGAAAGGAGAAGTGTACTGGAGAGAGCGCCAAGGATCGGAAGACCCACTAGACACAGGGCCACTTGGTCAGAGGGAATGAGGCTGAAGCCAGTTGGCCACCATGTTTTCCATGGGAATCCGTGCAGAGGCCACCAATTAAGGAGAGTGTAGGGGTCTCCTCTGGTTTAAGAGCTTCCTGTTCCCAGGAACCAGTATATCTTTTATAGGCTCTCTCTGGATATGGTTTTCAGGTCCCCTCTAAGGGACATGCCCTAAGTCACCCAAAGTTCCCTGCCATACCCAAAGTTTATAATTCCCTCATCCAGATACAATCCACCAATCAAAGCTGTCTCTACCATAAGCAATGTCACGACATGACATGGCTGTCACGCTACCACTCAGGTTACCTGGGGAGCAGGTTAGGACAGTTAACAGATGGTCAAATTCTCATGCAAATAATTAATTTACTCTACAGAAAGGCTGCACTTTCTCGAAATAAATGGGAAGACAACACAGCTGGCTTGGACCTTTGCCCTTCTTTGTCCTTGCTACCTAGCACAGGAAGCAATGGCTGGAGCTACCCAGACATTATGTGACAATGAGGCGAGAAGCCTGAGGATGAGGCCGAGAGAGGTCACATGGTGGCCCTGACAACACAAAGTCACCAAATGAGCAGCCACTCACCACTTCTTCATGGTAGACGCATGCTACCCTATGGTTACATGCTAATGTTACACGGCTATTTTGTTGTGCTTGCAGCCACATGCACACCACACTAATAAAGGTGTTTAACTCAAGTGTGTTTCTTTCACAATTAATTTTACTTTAGGAGTTTTCATGATCCTTACAGTGACCACTTCCAGTTGCTGAATACAATTTTGATCAATGAAGGCTTCAGTGAATATGAATCATCTAATAAAAAGGATGTGCTTCTGCTGAAGGCCTCGGATTTCCTAACAAAGGATTCCTCTTCGCTAGGAACAACTCTGAGTCGGTTTCAGGCTCCCAATCTTGGCTCCATCTGGTTTGGAACACTCTGAGGTGGTGCAGGGAAATGGATCTTCTGGGATATTAGGAGGAAGAGCCAGAGGTACTTTAGAGACTGGCACCATCTTCAAATTCCTCCCCAGACTCTCTTGCAGATATGAAATTGGCCTAAGAGTCAAGAGTTTTATGACCAAATCACCCCATCCTAGCCAGTTGAAGGAGTTCTTTCTAAACAATGCCACGGTTCCACAACAAATGAGCATCTTAGGTCTGTGAAACCTTGTCTCCCTAGAGCAGTGTGACTGGTACAGACCACCCTGGCTCTGGACCTCTAGGAAAACAAGGTACAGAGAGTGCTGTCCGAGAGATGCTCTGCCTACCCATCAATCAGGAACCCAACCAAACTCTACTGCAGAAAGCATGGGAGTATGTGGTTTCTTTCTGCCAATAATTAGGTCCAGGAAAACTGCAACTCTTCAATTGGGCTGGAATCATCACAATCTGATGTTTGAACCAGCAAAAATAGACCTCAAATCCACATGTAAACTGCTGGGTAAAACCCATGCGAGCCTATTTGGACTGTCAAAATGAAATCAAGTTGGGTTTTTCTTTAGTTTTAAGTATTGGTTCTGTGAATTCAAAGCCAATTTTTATCTGACTTGGGCACCATTGAACAAGTTATACCAATAAATATTAGTTTGAACAAGTTATTTCATATCAAGCCAGTTGAAACTGGTTGAGCCTGGTTGAAACTTGTCCCTTCCATGGGAATTTGGGGGTTTTAGTTTCCCTGGCTTGAGTTTTACCAAAAAAGAAAAACAGAGTGAGAAAGTTTTAAAGTCATTTATTGTTGAAGGCTGACTTACTCTGTTCCCATAAATACTCATAAGAATCAATTACTAGCTTATTGAAAGAATTAGTAAAATTTACATTGTTTATTATAACACATTCCTGGCCCAGAGAAAGAGCTCACATGAAGAGGCACCTACAGGGGCCCTGCAAGACCACACAAAGTCAGCTCCAAGAAGGTGGGCCCCACGCCCCCAAAGTGACGCAGAGCAGGGCTGTATTATTAACCCCCTCCCAAGGGACAGGAGGGTAAAGGGGAAGCGAAGAGTGTAAAAAAAAAAAAACCCTCCTGAACTGGATACCATTCTATTCACCCTGATCAAAAGCAGTAGATCATAATTAGCTGTTACACAGACACATTTCCATCTATTAATTCAGCCATCAGTGTTATCTGCGAAGCAATTAGCAAGGGTGGAATTAAATGAATGGTCTTCTATGCCTTGCATCAAAACAGGCAAATAGGCCAGACCTTCCCTCCCTCTCAGTGGGCTTATGCACCACTCAGAAGAACAAGTGCCCAAGCACCTTGCTGGAAAGTTGCTTCTGACACAAGCTCTGCAGGAGAAAAGTCGCTAATAAAAGCACCTTTGTCTTGACAAACAATGCTGCTACCCCCCAAGGGAGAAGATTCAGTCACTTACCAGCCACAAAACTTGGAAATGATGCCACCTTCTTTGTCTGTTAGGAAATAGGAACAAATGAACCTAGTTGCAACCGTGGCCCGTAGGACTAGGCTAGGGTGTAGACTGTCTCGGCAGATGCCTAGATCCATGGCTGGCTGGTGCTGCCCAGAATACACACCTAGCCAGTCTCACGCAGACAATGAGATACTTGGGAAGGGCACAAAGCCCCAGTAACTAAACCTTGGGTTAGCAAGTCATGGCCACAAAGGCACCTGGTGACCATGCGCCCCAAGGACTCCCCAACTTGTGGGCATGAGAACTCCATGGGCTTGTCTTTTAAAGCTATGGTTATTTCATCAAAGCTCAACCATGTTATATAAAACATGTTACCCAGAAAATTGATACTCCCACTCCTATTTTAGGGGTAAGAATACATGCTTTCATTATTTCAATAATCTCCATCATAGCAGTGCTCATTTATATGAAAGTGTTGGTTAAAACCATGGTGTTGGCTTAGAACAGTAGTTCTCAACTAGTATGATCTTTGTTCCAAGGGGATATTTGTCCATGTCCAGAGACATTTTTGGTTGACATAACTTTGGGACAGCCTCTAGGAGGCAGAGGGCCACGGTGATAATAAACATTCTGCAGAGCATAAGACAGCCCCCCAAACAAACAATTACTAGCCCTAAATGTTAGTGGTGCCATTGTTGAGAAATTCAAGTTACAATACAGTTATTGAACAGTGGTGCAGATTAATTTTCTGTCATATGAGGGAGCACCAATAACCCTCCCACACGTGTACACCATGGGCAGCACAGGGACACTCCACTGAGTTTCTTCCTTCCCACCTCCCACAGCAATACCCAAGTGCACTTGTCCTGGGCTCCATCTCCCCAGCTACTGGGTGGGATAAGAACTTGGGAGAGCGAGCTGGCCGTGAAGGGGCAGGCAGCGCCAACAAGAGGACCCTGGTCTAGAACTTCCATCCTTGGAAAAATTTACCTCTGGGACGTTATTATTGTCAATGGGTCCATTGAGATCAGAACGCTGCTGCTTCCTCGGCTGCTCCAAGCCATTGCAAACCTGGAAACCAAGAATTTAAAGATCATGTTTTTAGATATTACAGAACCAAGCCACCACACCTAAACTGAATGCTTCATGGGATCCAATTTATAAAATACGCTGCGCGCAGAGATGTGTGTGTGCCTGTGTATGTGCACGCATATATATTTAATCAGATTACCATGCGGCTGATATTATACTTTTATACCTCCAAGCAAATTTTTAAATCACTTTCACATTTTATTATTTATTATCATCTTTAGTTATAATAAAGTACACATAACATGAAATCCTCTACTTGACCCATTTTCAAGGGCACGGTCGAAGGATACAACATGCATTTCCATGCTTGCATGACCCTCACCACCACCCACTTCAGACAGCAAGTCCACACTTCCCTCTTCACACGGCAACCCCCACTCCACTCTAGAGACCCATGAATTCTGCTACGATGAGTGCCTGGACAAGCAGAATCCCATGGCAGTTATGCTCTGGGGACGGGCCTGTTTCATCTTGCATAATGTCTTCAAGACTCGCCCTTGTTAGAGCCCTTGCCGGCACGCATCCCTTCTACGGGCTGAACAGTATTTCCCCCCACATGTGCACCACACTTGCACCCATTCATCTACTTACGGATGTCTCCTGGATACTGTGACAAGGCTGCAATGAACACTGGTGTGCACACATATTTTCCTTTTCTTTTTTTTTTCTTCTGTAGTTAGGACAGGGCCTACAGGGCCTACAGGGCCTACAGGGTCTACAGGGCCTACAGGGCCTACAGGGCCTACAGGGCCTACAGGGTCTACAGGGCCTACAGGGCCTACAGGGCCTACAGGGCCTACAGGGTCCACAGGGCCTACAGGGCCTACAGGGCCTACAGGGTCTTGCTGCATAGACTGGACTCGTAGTGATTCTTCTGTTTTCAGCCTCCCAAGTGCTGGGATTACAGGTGCGCACCACCACGCCCAGTCTCAATCGCCCTTTCAGCAACCCTGAGGGCGGGGCCGGCACAGCAGGCTGGGGATGGAACCCCGGACACTGCACTCTGCCTAAGCAGGCACTTTAGGCTGCTGAGCTATCTGGCAGGCCCTGTGCACACATATTTTTGAGGTGTTGCTTTCCATTCTTTTGGTAGCACACTCCCAATCATGGAGCAACTGTATTTTTAACTTTTTGAAGATTCTCCATGCAGCTTCCCACTATACATTCCTAGTATCAATTTTTAGGGTTCAAATCTTATTTTTAAAAATCTTAAAATTTTGGATGAGAATAAATGCAAGTCAATAAATGCAAGTCAATCTACTATTACCAAGTCTTCTCTTTAAAAAAGTTTCCAAACCATAATTCCCATTACTTCAAATAACAAAATCTAAGACCTGGGTGTATTTTTTCTGCAATTCCTCACCACCCAGAGGACTGAACCCCAGGACTATCTGGAAATAAACTACCAAGCAGTTACAATATTGTGACAACAGTGACACGGTGATATTAAGCTACATGCGCAGATGCTGCAGGGTTATAACAGCCCTTCACTTAGGAGAGGGCTATCTCCACTACTGCCTTAGAGGTCAGACAACTGAGACTTCAAGCCCCAAGACTTGTGTTATCTGCCACCTTCTCACAGAGCGTAGGGGACACAGCAAGACGCACCCTATCCTACAATGCCACTGTCATGGTCCTTGATGGAACCTTATCCCTATTGCAGTCTGGAGAAAAATTAAAGGCCCTGGAACCACCTGGCGCTGATGGGGACACATGATGTGCCAAGCAGGCAGAAGGACTCCTGCTAAGTGTCCCTGCCCGCCATGACCACAGATGCCACTGGGTTTCAAAGGGAGTAGGGTGGAAGAGGGTGGCACAGAGGGGAAGTAGGCCTTCACGGGCAGGAGAGCAGAAGCGGGTGTGTGTGACACATCCCGGGAAGAGTGCACAGGGGCTGGCCCCCCAGAACGGAAGGTAATCAGGGACAAGGCTGACCCAAGCGGGTCAGATATCTGGTGCTCCTGGCCGCCTCTGTCCCTCTGCTAGGAGCCTGCAGAAGACCATTTCCCGTTACGGACAGCACGCTATCACGGACTGGGAAGTTCTAAAGGTAAGAGGTTAATACTGGATTGAAGACCTGGAGATGCAAAGCCTGCAGACAGCCATGGCTTCTCGCTGGCGGACTTTGAGATGGTGCTGGGCTTCACAAAGAGCAGGCCTGACTGTTCCTTCGGCGCTCTGCTCTTCTTCTAAAGCCATTGGTGCTCCTTCACGGGGATGCCACCCCAATGCCCTTATCTAATCCTACTCACTTCCAGAAGGCCCCACCTCTGAATACTATGGTTAGATTAAGAGTCTACCCTCTTAGTACCACATGGTGATGATTAAATTCCAGCACATGAACCCACAGGAGACAGCTTGGCCAGACCACGGGGGGTGGGGCATGAACTTGCCCTGCTGTCCTGTGCAGCCTAAGGCTAGCCTCTGGCTTGTATGGGGCTCCTGGGCCACTCCTGGGCCCTTCAAGGCCCCCAACCCAGGAGGAGACCCCAATAGGCAGGTCTTTGGTGCTAGTGGAGCCCCCCTACAACGAATGCAATGATGGCCAGGCCAAATGGACCCCTTCCTTCAGTGGGGACAAGACCACTCTGCAAGGGTCCGGATGGGTCAAATTCCCCCACCACAAAGCACACGAGGCCAAAGCTCTGAGGATACCGCCAGGCAGCCCCACCTCAAGTGCCAGTTCACAGCCCCACCTCAAGTGCCAGTTCAGTAAGCAGAAGTCCTCCTGGGGACACGGCCCAGGCCTCTCTGCGCTGTGAGCTTCTGCTGTCTCTCAGGGCACTCAGAAGCTAAATGCTGATCTACCCTCCTATGAGCCAGGCAAGCTGCCCCCGTGGACTTCACTTCCTGCAGGCTTGCCCCACCTACTGAGAGCACAGTGCTTCCCCAGGACAACCCCAAAGAAATAAACTTACCAACCAACCAGGGAAACCAAGTTAACAGCACCCATTCCACAAACATCATACCTGGGGGCAGCATCTAGCGTTTTAGGCAGAAGGAGGGCCACAGGCTTACTTAACAGGAGACTGAAGCCCTTATGGGGTTAGGGCCAGTGGCATGAGCCATGCACTCCAAACCTGGGCTCCACGCTCAGCCAGGGGTTACTGGCTGGGTGCCGGCACCCCCACACCCAGCCCCCGGGACGCCTTTGTGTGGGGCCACAGTACAGGGTGTCTGGGGGGAACACAAGGTCTGCCTTGGGTGTGACCTTATTCTCTACCTCAGTGTTTCCTTGACTCCTTCCCTAGTGGGCTCGGTTTATCACCATGACAACCGCATCTCATGATAAACAGCAGGGATGGATTTCAAAAGAGGCAGAAGGGTGGGCTTGGGAGATTTCTCCTTGGGAGAGCCCATCTGGTGCTCCGATTTCCAGCTTGGGGGATGGGAAGGAGAGCGGGCAGCAGGGGGACCAGCTTCTGAACCTCACGTAGGTCGAGGCCCACGCGGGCTAGGGGCTCCCAGACACTTCGCGATGGGAGCTGAAGATGTCGTTGAAGTCCTCTTGTGCCTTCCCCCAGGTACAGCAACCAGCCACACCTCAAAGTGAGAGGCCGGCTGGTGTCTTGCCCCTCACTAAGTACTGTGGGGTGTCACCAAAGCCAGTAGCTGAAACCTGCCCCAGCTGGAGAGTGCAGTAGGTGAAGAAGTGGAATAAAGCCCACTCCTGGGGACAGCTGTTGTCACCGAGAGAAATGCCTTTAATAAAAAACACTAATGCGAACAAATCGTTCTAATAAACATGTTGATTTCGGTCGGTGCAAACTAATGCTCAGAATTTTTAATGCGTCAGTTCTGATCCGTCTGTCTGATTAAACTGAAAACACAGCAAATTAACCTACATGGCACTGGAGGAGCGAGCCACAAGGCCATGCACACCTGCCCGGCTCCACTTGCACCATCTACAGGCAGGGCGGCGGAAGGTCTCCAAGCGTGCTCCTGATGGACAAGCACATGAGCAGCTCAAGTTAGGGACGCACAGGACGGCGCACAGCCAGGCAAGCCAGAGTCTCAGCTCTGCACTACACACCTTCCGGTTCGACAGAGAAAGCCCAGGGCCATGAGTGCATGGCTCAGTTCCGGGACAGCTTCTCCCTGAATCGCTTCATCTGCTTTGTTTCCAAAAGAGCTGCTCAGCCCTGTGGGGACGGTTTGTATCTCATTGTCCCCCTCAAAGCCTCATGTGCACGCAGCTGATTGGATTCTGAGGCACTGATAGATCAGCCCACGGCTCTAGCTAAGAGTGATTTCAGAGGTGTGGTCTGGTCAGAGGCAGTGGGCCGCGGGGTGGGGGGGGGGCTGGAAGGGTCCCCATCCCTCCATGCCTCCGCCCCTAACCGCTCTCTCTGCTTCCCAGCACCACGCCACAAGCCCTTTCTCCTCTGTCCTGCCACCTGCCTTGGAAGCAAGTGACTAGGGACTGAAACCTCCACAAACTGTGAGCCCAAATCAGACTCTCCTCCTTACAGTTACGAGGGTTGAGCGCTGTGTCTCAGAAAGAAAGTCACCCACTCCTTTGAAATTCCAACAAAAATGTCTTGCTCCAGCCAACTTGGGAGGGGATGCTGGGTCCCACTGCCCAATGACAGCTCTGAATGGTATAAATCAAGGGCAGAAGCCACCAGCATCACGTGGAAGACCCCACTCAGAAGCGTGGGAATCCTTTGCAAGCCCTTGAAGCTGTCTCCTGACACATCCAGGACCCAGAAAAAAAAAAAAAAACTGCAATATTGTTATTTTTCTTCTTCCATTCCTCTTGCAATTCAGGTCACTCCTGTGATATTTATTGTGAAGAAAATGAGAGCTTAGGTAAGGTGTTCATCCTTACAATAGTTCCTCCCACAGGGGTGCTTACCATTTTCGAACAAGATCTATGGCTTAAAAGTATTATGACAGGACACACCGGGGACACCAGCAGGTCAGCCGCACTGCACTCTGCAATCTCTAAGCAGATCTGTGACTAGGATGGGGAGGGA